AATCGCATTTTCCTACTCGCTACTAGATTTGGGTGTGTCTTTCCTGTTTGGCCAATAGGATGTAGATAGGCCTATTCAACTTTTGCTGAAAAGGTTAAAGCGGAATATTTTCGTCGCACATGTCCAGTCTCGTAGTTTGACAGGCTTTTAGCTTACTGGCCTAGCTGCCGTGTAGCTAAATATCCCGGCCTGGTATTCTGGTTAACGCAATACGATGCTACTTTCTGCAGAAGATAACCTGGAAATAGATATTAACATCGACGACAGGTGAAAGGCCGTGAATGTGCTCGCTCGACCTTATCGAGAAACCATTCGTTGCAACAAATCTCTTCTTAGCAAAAGAAAGAGTCCCAATTCTCCTTGAGTAATACTGTACATATAGTGAGTGCACAGCGTTCAATTGGCTCAGGGGCAATGATAGGCAACAGCATGGGACGGAGCGTACAGAATATAGCATTCCGCTTAGACGAAGCTGTTGCCAAAGTCGAGTTAAACAGAGGGGAAAATTCGAAGAGGCGTCTGGCTAAAAGCAGCAGAACTTGAAATGAAGGAGAGCCAGGAAACAGGCAGTGTGGCCAGCGGGGCGCTGTTTAGCGTTCGGTATCCGAAAAGATGATCCGCGTTATAAAATTTAAGGTTCTAATTTTTGTAGATTAGAAAAACAGGGGCCGGTTAGTAGCGCTAAAGTGGCGATAACAGTTCAGTAGGCTATTTACTCATACATACGGCCGTACAGGGTCCACTGTTTCGTAAAAAGGGTGCTCTTTCCAATGTTGCTGCTGTTGTCCGACCAAAGCTGGAGCCTGCCCAAAATCTTCTTCGTTGTGACGTCCGATTTGAAAATCCGTGTGCTTTACACCACCGTTTGCACTCTAGCGTTAGTAGCGTGCATAATGTGCTCCTGTTGCTGATTCACGGTCGGGACCTGACGCCAACATAAAGAATCCAGCGACATTCTCGTCCTTGTTTGGACGGAATAAAGTCGCAGTTAGGCACAATTTTCGACTCTTTTAAGAGGCACACCACATAAAATAATACCAGTTAGCCTACCACTAATACGACGTACCATATTTTTTATCTGGAAAACACTGATAAATTAATAAATCCTGAAATTATTTTCAGCTGGTTAACGGCGCAGACAAACGCTGTTAATCAGGAAGATAATTAAAATATAGCTTCGATTTGCTGGGAAACGTGTCAATATCGCCATTCACCGCTTTCCCCATTAGCCGCTTCTTGACGTAAAGACAGCGCTTTTATGGAAAGTAACATCACCGCCCACAAAGTGATCCCAAGCCATCCATAAGCTTGTAAGGCTATTAAAAAGCTCTGCCGACATAGTCTTTCACGAAAGCCTTATAACCAGGCATTCAGCTGAGGAAGGCTACCGCCGACAATTTTCATTGACGAGTCGGTCCGAGTAGGCTCCCTTATAATGACTCTGAGCCCTCACAAAGTACAGCGAGGGTAGGCTCCAGGCAACAAGGTCCGTTGGCTATTGTCGACATAAAAAAAACAAGCTCTTCCGATGCTTGGCCTTTCATTAGGTGGTGCGGGTCGTCTGATTGCACCTGTTATATTGCACAATCATACAATACTACCTTATACATATTAGTAATAGTTTTAGTGGGATTGGAGCCAGCTTCAAAGGTTGCAAGCGACTTAATGCGAAACGGACGGCATGGCTGCCGAAACGAGGTGACGTTATTGGGTTGTTATATACGTACCGTGGATGCCGCTCATGAAGTTGCTGTACATTGCTCTCACTATAGGCGGCCATACCTCTCTATTGGTATCGTCGTCGTCATCTCTACTGTCGGTAGCGTCCTGCATGACACGGTAATGTACAGGCCTCTCCCAAAAAGTCAGGCTCGGCCTAATTTGGACGGTGTCTGCGGTGCTGCTAGTGGTCATCTTGTCTTAACGGAGCTAACCTGCAACCACTGCTTGTACTTCCCCATAGAGTTTGTTGAGCGCGTGACTTTTGTTTTAGTCAATGCTAGAGCTGGTTAGACAAACGAATTGTTCGATACTTTCTGGGGTAGGCGCGGATAAATATGTAATCGCTACACGTATGCCGTATATATATTTCATAAGCCTTGACCATAACTAGTATGTTATATGGAGGCTAGGCACTAACGCGTGGCAGACGAGGGAACTGTTCCACCAACAGTCTTCAATTCCTTCGTATGCAGATGCTGTTGGCTAACGTTGGAGACACTATCCCCGCCGCTATCACAACCGCCGTTGGGGCAAAATGATTGGACCTTTGGAAGCACTGGCATCAGAAACAAGATTCGGCTGGCACAGGACAAATTAAATATGCGGCGGTATACCGAGGCGCAACACTCGGACGACAAACGTTGCCTCTAAAAAAAAAACTCGTCCCGTTGTTCTTGACTCGTGAGAATATTGTGGATGATCGCACTGATAACGATAAGAACGACGCAGGTTCTGCTGCCGGTACTAGCCCACTCCCTGATGATGTTAGCACTGCCGGAATGAGAACTTTGTAGCAGTTTAGGTCCAACCAGTTTTCCCTAATTAACAAATTCAGTGACTTGAAAAACGATGGCTGGCCCAAACGAGCGCAAACTAAAGCAGAGGAAAGGGGGAGAGAAATTAAAAGAAACTGCTGAAAGGTCTAAGTTCGAATCCGGACATAGACACACGGTTCGCTTTGTGCTGGCAGTCGGCTATCTGCTTGAGGAAATGACTAACGGCGACGCCGGACGTGAAACATCGAAACAAAGAAATCGCGGGAAGTAATGGTTGCGGTGCGTTTTCGGATAGCACTCCCTTCTGCTATAGATAAAGATATTTTTCTCTTACCTTGATAAAATTACGATATTCTGTCACGTAAAACACAATGTCTACGTCACAGAACTACTTGGTAATAGTTTTCTGTGCTCTAGCCAAAATGCACAAACACAACAGTATCTTAAGTTTGTTCACTGTTGTAAAGGGAAGTTGGCAAGGATGCACGCTAAACTGCACATATCTACCGTCGATAATTAATCATCTGCTAGCGCTTTACTCAATTAGAGATACACATGCAAATACAATTCTGTATATAAAGACAATATATAGCGTAATTTCCTACGCCTAAGTGTTTTCCTACTGACCACAGAAAACGCTTGGGCAAGGTATTATCCATTAAAACAGTTAATAATCCACATATAAAAAAATTAACGGTTTCGAAGGGGGAAGAAACCAGCAGACGGCGAGACGGATGCAGAAGATCTTCCTCAAGTTCTTTTTCATAACGCGTATAAGTTCGTTATTAAATGTCCGACAGGTTTCTTGATGGCGACTTTTGCGTAAACATTGCTTGAAGCACGACATCAGGGCGTCTTTTCGCCCGTCTGTCATCAGCTTGGCCATCATCAAAAACGCTATGAGCATCCGAACCCCTATCCTTGAAGCCATAATAGTTAGTGAAACACACGAAGTTATCTTGCATGATCGCGGAACTGTTCTATGAAACGAAGCACTTACTCGTAAATATAAACCGTTCATGTGTGGACGGTCGACACGGTTCTCATGTCGACACAGCCGATACATGACAACGTATGTGTTAATCACGTTCATAGACCGGTGTTAATTACCCTGGATACCATGGATTTTACGAACGATATCAAAGAAAACACTATCATAGCCTATATTAATCGAATTTGTCTCGATATTATTGGTTCCTGAGTGCAGACGCGATTGCATAACGAGTTAGCAGATGACTCAATCTTTGTTAAGCGCAATTTTTTGAATAATTACATAGAAAATATCCTTCTACAGGGATATTCTAAACATAACAATTCTATACTCAGTTCCAATCCAACAAAGATAAAAGTTAGCAGTTTATTCTCTCAAATCAGCTTAATGCTTTTTGTACCATACAGAGTTGGTGATACTGATGATAATTCGATTTTTTAGTAGATGACTACACAATTTTGCGTGAATCAAAAAAACAAAAAGAAGTACATCTGGCAGCGCCTTGTAAGCAGAAAGCTAGCAAAAGAAAGATTGGGACATTTCGATATACCCGAATTAAGTTTTGCCCACGTAAAGTTGTAGTTGCTCGAAGACAAGGCACTGTACCTTGTTGTCGACAAGTTAAATACTATTTTATGACGGACTGCGTAACCTGTCTTATTAACGTACCTGTTTGCGATACAGCTGCTGTGTGTGCATATATTAGTGTTACGCTTGATGCGTTCGCTCGTGTGCTTCGTAACTTTACGACAATTCGACACTCGAACTAAATATCTGAGCGAGAACGGATCGATTGGTTCCATTTCTCATAGCAGCATAAGTAAGAAATTACTGCGACGGCAGTGTGCCCCTGGGCAAAGGCAACATATTGCTTACGGAGATATTTGCTTATCTTCTGGTAGCGGCTTGTCTCGGCGAACTCGGTCCTATGGTTGACGTCCGTTAGAGTCTAAGTTTATTCTAACGACCGCGGACTTGTATTTGAATCTCCGTACAATAGCGGCAGCAACAGCCGTTGTCAACTGAAGAGAACCAGGGCCTTTAGTTAGACGGCCATTCCAGTTAAACTAGTTCAAGATTAAGACCATATCACAAATATAAGGTAGCTTATTGTTCCATTAACTTATTTCATTCTCGTTGACCATTTGGTCTTTATTTGTACTACACTATAGATTATGTCGAAAGTTGCACGAATCCGTTCTAGCAGATGATATAACTTCTATCTTTTTATGGATACAATTTTTATATACAGATTCATTGGGTAGGTTTAGTGCGAGCTCCAGATTCCTATGATAGTACTTCCGTCTCGCTCAGTATTTGCAGGCCTTGTCCTTATATGTCTCTGTACCAATGTGATTTTAACGTGTATTTTGAGAATACGCATCGTCTAGGAGACTTCTATTGGCGTCGCATTGTCCAATAACAATAGCATTGTCTATAGTGAACTAGTAGCTAACTAACGTGCAAGTACCTATGCACGTTGCCAATGTGAACATTGGCTAGGTTCTCACCTCGTCATCATACATTGGGTAAGCATCCGCCATTTTCTGTTGTCCTCTGTGTCGTTGTTGCCCTCTATGTTTCTTGTCGTACTACCGATATGTTGCCACGCTGCCGGCAATCACAAAGGCACAGACGACCACAACAAATAACTTGTGCTTTGCACTCAAATTGGTATGATATTCAATTGCGGTAGCGAGTGATCTGCTGATAGTAGGGATCCTAGCAGTATTACTTTTGATATTGTCAGTTTCAATGGAAAATTCCTAATTTGTGCCAGCCTATGAATTTCGTGTGATAGTGGTAGCAGCCGTCGTAACAGCAGGAAAATAGCAACAAAAGGCAAAATCACAACAAATATCCAAAACAGTAACAATAATCCACACTGACACGCAGCTTTATGCTTTGTTGATAGATGATTGATAATTTTCAACTCTCCTTAGAACTCCCACGCTTCACGAGCTTCCAGCACAACGTAGCCCGGTTATTTTCTGTATAGACCCGATGAAATGTAACCACAGAAACACGACGATATAATGGCGGGACGTACGGTAAGACGTGATGAGCTCACAACGCAGAGCATGAAATCGCGACTAGCTTCAAGTTCGTTTGGAGAACTTTGGCCAACGAATGAGAAAGATCGAACTTCACTTGATTATACCACTGGATCGGACGCACATTTGCACACTTATAAAAATAAATTCAATGCAGTAATAGCCACAACTGGAAATTGATGCAGCAAACTACCGATATCTTCACGTTCAAAGTTCTGACTTTATTTATTTCTGTCAAATAGCTAAACAATTTGACCTTGATCGACCGAGGAATATGTAGGAAGAATCCACAGCACGGCTTGAGGATGATTTTCATAAACAATAATTTCAGCAGGGCTCGCCTAACTTAACGAAGCTTGAAGTATCGGCTAGTTTTAATCTACTGGAATTGAATAGACTACTGTGATGTTCTTCGACGTGACGCCAAAACATGCACGTACTGATACCATCTTCTATCCGATTGAAAACCAGATGTAAGTTGTGTACGCCACGACTTGATATCACTGCTGATGGTGCTGGGTTTTTTTTATTGCTTGACGTCAGAGTTAATATTGCTTCTGGTTCGGTCGGTGCCAGATCAAAATACTGTTAGCTTGTGCCACGAGGCTTCTTTTTAACTCTTGTGTATAGATCGCACTGAGTATAGCTGCCGTATCTGGTAGACCAACGCGTTCTATTTTGTATCCTGCTTTGTTTTATCCTGCATTGATCTCATCTGCTACTTCGAATATCCTCTCGCTCTTTGTCCTTCGGCGTTTCGTCTGATACAGCTTCTTCTTATTGCTGGCTTCAACGCTACTGTTATGCTGTGAGATTCATTATTGTAAATTATTTCGTATACAACCATCTATCCTTCTGTTCGTGCCCGTTTCTCGCCTCTTCCGTCAGCCTTTTTGAATTATTTTTTTGCCCGTCTCAAAGTCACGATAATAGGATGCTCTTCGCACGAGATAGCGACAACGAAGCGGGACGTTTTTGACGCTACATGAAATGTTTCGATTTTACTTTTTGACGATCTATTCGATAAGAGAAGTTGACTGATGAAGTTGAAGAAGGACAACTTGGGACGAGCACAGACGACTTCTTTATTTCTAGCGTCTCGACTTCGCCTAGCTGCAATTGCGCTGATTCACATATTTGCTACATATTATCTAGCACTAGTAGATAGCGGTAATGGTCCTCTCGTATATTCACCTCTAGTGTAAATGGCCTTTTATTAGAATTGTTTTTCCGTTTTTCTTGCTTACTATGGTGATTTCTAAAACGAATGTTGCTTGTTAAGAGCTACCGGTATTTTGCAACTTGGGCTGCGCTGCTGAATTTCTTAACGGCACTTATTGCTAATTCGGTTGATCCGCAGGGTCACTGTTGTTGATTCAATAGGCCTATGTAATTCATATTTTTGTTTGTATGGCCGCAATCTACAGTGTGCGTAGGCCTGTTAAATTGGCCTGGAATTAAGTATGCAATAAATACAGGTCGAATTTCTTGCGGCTGTACAAAACGAAGAGGTTCTCTCTCGAAGAATGTTGTCCGTACGTCAATCGTAGCAGTGGCAGAGGCGGCAGTAGCGACGTTCGAGTGGAAGTATCGTCCTTTGTCAAAATGTTTTCGCGTCTCCCAGCGGGTTATTGAGTTTTCTAAGTTTCCAAATAGCATTCGTTGGCCGGACACAACAAGAAACAGTGATCGGTGTGAGCAAGTAGTTGGAGGATAATAAATAGCTATTGATCTAGTCGCTGCTGGCTTGCTGCCTCGCGCCTAGACCAATGGAGGACAACCGATAATAAGTATTGAGCAAATTCTAACTTGTTTGCGGTTTGATTAACTGTACTTACGGAATGGGAAGACTTCTTTCTGCACCCATCCGTTCTAACAGCTCGCTTAATTTAGGCTTAAAGCGACGTTTACTTCGCTATGGTTTCGCTGCAGCACTTAAATATACGTATTTCAGCTGATTGGTATTCATGCAGTGGTTCAGGTATCGGCGGTACTTAGCCTGGCTTACTATCTTTCATTCACTACTACATCAGTTGATGCTATACAGAATTGAATTGCTTAAGAACCTTGACGCCTTCAGTGTGCCCTCTGATCTGGCACTGGGATTTACTAGCGAGCTGACGTTGCTGTTGGAACGGACAACTTTCAAACGGCTATCCTTTGTCGCTATACGATGCGATGAACACCGGAAGGACAATCTATCGTAATAAACTTTGTATCGTATCGGCTTACAATGAAACCTTTGCGTTTCATCTTAGAGCCCCAGTGGACTGTGCAATAAAGGATCGGATCGTACACGTTTATGGATGCGTAAAACAATCATTTGAAGCCAAAATACAAAATTACATTTTATGGTGGTGTGGTTTCAGCGTTCGTACAGCTAGCGGTAGAATTTTTCTGCCTCTATCTTTCCGCAAAAGTCGGACAGGATGAACATCTAACAAAGAAATAAAGCTAAGTTCTGATACAGGTAGCAAGCGTTTTGCCTTTTAACGTATCGCAAGTTTGGCCTCGCCATAGACTGGAGCGGTGCAGTATCGTCCGCTGATATGATGACCGCTGACTAAGCGCCCTTCTGATGAATACTTTTCAAGATGTTTAACTTCACTTGAGGTCTGCCGAGCCGATCTGCCCAGTCCATTTCCGAACAGCAGCCTGTGTGCCGTTGTCGGCTATCGGTTTGTTTCTGCTAGAAAAAAAAAAACGTTGGTCGACCCTTGTTACGATAATGAAATGACGACTGTAAAGCGAAACGTCACTTTCGGCACCGTTGCCTAGAGGAACACGTTCGATGGAGTGTCGAGCAATCAGAGCTCGCCTTCGGCGACTAATCTGCTGCCGGCTGGAATGGCTATGCTCGGCAGACCCACTTCTGGTTTTTTGCTTGTCCACTTAAACCCCGCCGCACACGTCACGATAGCATGAGACTACGTCCTGCCGCATTGAACAAGATGGGTGACTGTCCATTCATAGTGCACCGATCACTAACCGAACCAACCACAAACAGCATTGACGAAACGCTTGTCGGTCAGTTAGACTAGTCGGGGGACGACGAGTCGCCAGCGACCTAAGCTACTGCTTGTTGAAGCTTACTTTCTCCCTCTCCCGTGATATTCTCCTCTTTCCCTCGATTTTCTCTCTTTCCCTCTGTTCGTCTACTGTCGCGGTGGGCGCTGAACATTCGCGTGCTCCACAACACGTTAAACAGGCTGGATTAGAGATGTTGGCCTGCTCTTCAAAGCCAGTCGTCTGTGGCAGTATGGTCCTGCTCTGGCGAGATAGAGGTAGAATCAGTCTTCTGTAGCGGTCGTGTTGTCGTGACTGGTCCGTGTCTAAAACTGTCGAGACGGTCCTTGGCTCGCTCGCGCCTCAGCACAGCCGCACAACGTATCAGAGGGCATAGTCAACGTAGAGTTCAAGGTAGTCGCGCTGTGAGCGCGACCCAACGATAGCTTCTGTCGACAGCCAACACCAACACTGTTGGCAGTCTTTGCGGAGCTGTGACAAAACGAACCACCGCACGGGCCTTTGGCATCGATAGCAGTACCAGCACGATCAGCCCTCACTCATCTAGTTGGGCCGCCGCTAACGGGTCGCTGTTAAATGGACAGATCGAGCGACCCTTTGGTTGTCGTGCACATTCCTAGTCGCCGCCGCTGCTGCTACAGCCGTTGTTACTGCTGCTACTAGCTGTCTCGGCGTGTCGTCTGCCGATGACGATGCCCTCCCCCTCAAGTCCGGTGAGAGGCGCACCTTTGGCCTCGCCAGGGCAACCCAACCCAGCCCAACCCAACTCAACCTAGCCGAAAGCTTCTTACTGCCATTATCAACAACGAAGACGACAACTTACGCGCGGCTGATCAGCTTACTGGCCCTCCACCGAGCGAATAAGCACTCAGCAAATCACGCGCAACGGTCTCGAATGTAGCCACTCATAATAACAATAGCGGAGGCAGCGGCGGCGGCAGCAGCAGAAGCAACAGCGGTAGCAATGGCGATAGCAGCCATTGTTGAGGTCTGCGAAACGGGGCGCGAACCAGCCGCAGCCGCAGTTAGCAACAGCATGCAGTAGAAAGACCAGGCGGCGAACGGAAGGCAAAAAGAAGTAGGTAGGTAGACATCCAGTAGCCTGCCCCAAGCAGGACAATAAGTAAACTAAAAGTAGTATAAACCGGGCGGCAGCTGGCAACGGTTGGTAGGAAAGCTGCTGAAGAGTCGCGAGATGGAAAATAGACGAGTAGCGACTGAGTGGTTTGCCGCTTTACCAGTTGCTCAAAAACCAGGTCTGGACACTTCCTTAGCATCGACCCATGTCGACGATGGGCCAAGATGCTTGAAGCTTGAGAGAGGCTTTTTTTACCTCGAAAACAAAGGGAACCCTCGTAGCCAATTTGAACCCAGAAAGCAAGGAGAAGGATAGCGGAAGAGTTTGAAAAATGGATAGATTGACGCATCCTTGCAGCACACTAAGCCGAAGTCGCTTGCCGCTGAGAGGGCACTTGCCGTCATTCGAGAAACGATTTTTTATGGACGATGCAGTGCAATACAGAAAGGACGTCTTGCGACTCGTGCCGCTTGAGTCGGCGCAGCACCACAGCGAGTTGTCAAGATGTCCTAACAGAAGGCATAAATAAATATAGAAAGGCATAAACAGATAGCCTACAGCGACAAGTATGAACGTCGCCTAAACAGTCAGCAAACCACGACAGCCAACAAAAACCCCATTAATTATTAACATACTGTGGGACACAAGCTGTAGACCTGTGTGATAACATGGGCGACCGGCGATGCTTCATTACATGGATCAAGAAATACTCAGGACGTCAATCGAATTCAGTTGAAACCATTTCTGAACTTGAGTTCACTAAATATCGTACAACTGAGGTAAAATACTGTCCGCGACAGAATCGAATGTCTAAAAACCTTTCAATAAAGGTGTAGTAATTGGTCTTTACCTGAATGTGACACGTGTAGTTTCTATAGTGTCACTTCTCGCGATCTTATCGCGAAATATACACTTACTTCAAACTTATGCCTGTTTTACTTGACTATATTCCTTCCAGATCTCCAATACGCTGGCTGATCTCGAGTCTAGCACGAACAATCCCTTGGGCCTTGAAACTGATGAACACAAAAAATTCGAAAACATCTAGAGAGAAAGGCAGCTTAATGGAGCATTAACAAAACCAGCTGGGAAATGCGGCGAGGCTAGCAAATTAAAGCAAGTCTCGAGTTTTTACACGTAGCACAAGTAGGCACTTCTAAGCAGCTTGGAAAGCTCAGACGTGCTACCGAAATAGCATTCGACATTAGGCAACACCGGTTAAATTCGTTGGATGAACAAAAACATTGAGACATCGGATCGGCATAAGATGCATCGAGTGAAGTCAGAAGCCTGACCGAGATGTCAATTTGCCACGTCTGTCTCCTATTCGTGGTACTTTTTCGATGGAGATTCCGATTGGTGATGAGTAACCAGGATCTCGTCGGCCCAAGTAAAGCCGTTGACCATATTGTAGCGCAATGTGAGGAATTATACTAACTTTATCATACAAGTAGGATGCGTTCTAAATACATTCTAAATAAAATAAAATAAAAAAGGCTCCTCGTACCTTGTGGACCGGCGTTTACCTCCGTAATTATTATTAGCGCAATGGCTAGCACCGCTAAGTTTGAGACAAGTAGAGGTCAATGATTCAAGCCCCACTTATGACATCAACTACATGACAATTGTGATTAAGTAAATAACTGTTATTATCATTACTTATCGTGTATCTGGTAGTCGGCACTTTTACTACGCTGATTCCAGTATGCAGAAATAAAAACAAAGCAAAACAAGCCAGTTCAATACTTCAATACACATTATTTGGCCACGACATAATGGAGCCAATAGATTGTATCGTCGTGCAGGTCATGTTCATTAATGCGCACATTCGCTCCATAGACTATCATTTGAAAAGGTTCAATTTTATAAGTACAGCGTTTCAACACCGTGTAGGACACCTTATATGTTTTTTAAGATGCGTGTCGAAACGTAATCGTTTACTTTTCTCGTCGTATTTTAGCCGGCCGTTTTTCACGGGATTCGTACTGAAAGCATATATACATGGTGAACGCTTCACAGTTTTTGTCATCGCATCATGCTTCTGCCATGGGGGTGGCCATCGTCGAGGGACACAATCAATCGTTGTTCCCTTCCTCAAAATGTATGCTGCAGGCAGGAAACTGTCGAGGCATTTCTATGACCTCGACGATGTGAAACTATACCATCCTGCCAATTCCAGCATACTTCTTTCCTTTACACCCTGTTTTTAGGGTCACGCAAGAAATCCAACAAGTGTCAATGACTCATGAAAGGAAAGCTCTATAATTGCTGCTCGCTGTAGAGCTTTCAATGAGATACAGTAATCGGGTAGGTCGTACTTAAAAATAAAGTTCAACGATGAGGTAGTTCTTGAATAAGTTCACTCATGGACACGCATATAAAAATGTCCTTGTACTGTTGTGTATAACACGCACCCCCCTAGAAATCAAGCTTAAGTGGTTACTCTCTGTTTTGAAATAGCCTTCCATGAGATTTCATATAGGCTAACGGTCGTTCTCGAATGTAGATAGACAGGACGTTGCCTGGAGAACATATTACGGATAACTCTGTCACCGCGGGGCAGTGAATGATCGCTTTTTTTTTTTTTTTTCTAAAATAAAACTGCTTCGTAGTACAGTAAATTTTTTGTCATATATTTTAGTACTTGGCCTCGCTTGATTAAAGCACCCGTTGATTAAAAGCTTTTAGGGGCGTGAGATCCTTTAACTTGTTGTGTGTGCTTTATATGAGGAGCCTTGACTATACTTTACGTACAGGGTCAATTTGAAACTATATTACTGTGTTATATTATTTCAAATAAGTCGAATTTTGCGGCACATAATCTCATTTTCACCAGTTTAATTAATATAATATAATAAATATAATAAAAGATTAATGAACCAAACTAACTGCTTGATGCCATCCAACTTTACGACATACCTATTTTGCACGTTAAACGTTAATAGTTCGTTATCATCGGAGATTTTAATAAAAAAATTTAAAAAGTTTTAAAAAGATTAAAAAAAATTTTAAAGGAGCAAATCTGTCTGTATGGTAACAACACGAGTAATATTCGATCGTTGGGACCTGCGACCCCGTTACAATCACATGGCCTCCATGTCTTTGTTGGAAATAAGCCCATCGCAATGCTAGAGAGAGAGAGAGAGAGAGAGAGAGAGAGAGAGAGAGAGAGAGAGAGAGAGAGAGAGGGGTTATATGAATAGTGCTTGGTTTTTTCCTCTCTGATTAGCTCTGCTATATTGTCTAGCTTTCTCCGAAATTTAACTGAACGAGTCTATCTTCTCGATGAAACTAGCTGCCGTCTTCCTCGAAATGATACCCTGGTTTTAGAAGAAGAAGTAGGGTGTCGCTGTTTACTTTTACAGAAATTATCTGTTGAACGGACGAAGTCAAAAAATCGCTCGTGTAGATACAATAGCCTGCGTTAGCATTACATAAAATATATTACTAAGACAATCATAGAAATCATCAGAAATTAAATTTCGGTACAAATTGGTAATTTTATTTTGCAGAGAAAGAGATCCTATTTCTTCTATTAAATTAAGAACATATCATCTAATTTATTTTGATTTTTATAGAAATCGTCTTAAAATGCCAGGACTAGGAGCGATTGTAGAGTCAGATAGTGTCTATAGCGCAGCAGAAGCTGCATTGTTATTTAAGGTTCATCTGGAACCAGAAACGTCCTTTCGATCGCTTGTGGAAACAAGCAAGATGTCTTTCAAATCCGTCCACCCTCCAGTTATTTATTAGAAATTCTTGTAACGCAAATCTGATTTCGTTACTTAGGCCAAGTGAAATGAAAAGAGAAACTCGTGTTTCTAATGCCATTGAAAGAATGTTATTGAGCACTTTTTCGTTCTTTATTTCGTTTGTAAAGCTTGTGCCGTTCAGTGATGTTGTGTTAACCTATCTACCTATCCTTTGTTTATAAATTGTTAAAAAACTCTTATGGAAAAGCAGAACTCTTATGGAAGGTAACCGAAAGTAGAATGGTCAAACGTTTTTGAAAATAACTTAAGTTCAAGCTGTAAAGCCTTTCACGGGGCTGAAAGAAGTGCTTTCGTCACTACAATGAGCAACTTGTATATTCAAGACTGAATTGATACGTATATCTTCTGCTGGAAGCTAGCAGCAGGCGAACTTCACGCATACGAATACGGAATACTACAATTCTGTTTCATCTGACAGATGATTGAGTTGGGAAAATGTCATCCCATTGAAATGATCGTAGTCCAATACACTGCTACTTAATAATGAACATTATTCTAATACAACCTGACGATACTTTAGCTATTTCATCGCCACCAAATGACTTTTCTATTACATCGATTATATTAACTATCGCAGTTAATCGAATTCATGTTTAGCAATGTTCGTCTACTCTAATTCTACCTGCAGAGCTATGACCATTTCCAGAATTAAGACTGTGACATTTAGGCTATCAAATATATATTATGTAATAGATACTAATATATCAAGATTTGCTCTCGCTAGACTTTGCTAATAGATGAAGC